CACCGTGTGCTCCACAGCGTCGTAGTTCAGGGACGGTGACTTACGTGTGGATTAGTCTTAAGTGATTGTAGACATACGTTGCATCTACCGCACTCTCTCGTCCCGCAGCCACCGGTGTCAAGACAGAGTCAGTAAGACCGTAGGCGGCCGGAGCCGTCAAACCTGACTCGGATCTCACGGAATGGGAGTGTCATAAAGGCCAAGGGGGGAAGGCTAGTGCCTGAGCCTCCACCTATGCGTGTCACCAACGCTCCACTCTCATGTTCGGCATTTTTTATGGGAGCGCAATCCGAAAAACGCCTGATATGCCCTAATCTAGCCCCTGTGTTTGTCCAGCGCATCTACCACGCGGCCCGTTTAGGGGGTACGGTAGAGATGTGACCTGTGCGCACGCCAGCATCAAGATAAAAGTACAGGAGTGTTTGTGGTCAACGACGAACGAAAAAAGGGCATTCACTCACAGGCTGGTATATGATTGCAACGCCGGGCGTCATGCGAAAATGGTGTAAAGGTCGGGAGAGAAAAGCCCCAACAAACAGCAGACGAGAAGTATAGCAGGTATGGTCTGCCCCCCCCAAAAAAAGTGATTGCAAACGGCTTGCTTATGCTAAGGTCCACTGGCCTTTTGGTTGGGGCCGATGCCAATTATAAGGCCACAGTAAAGTCCTCGTGGTTAAAGGAGGCACAACGGCCCTGAAACATTTAATGATCTTAGTGACGTGAGCCCTAATGCTCTCGTCATTGAGATATACACAGAATGGGTTGTCAAACGAATTTGACCGTTGGCATCTACTTTAAAGCCCTGAATAAGGAATGGTAGAAAAAAAACATCGTGAGTAAGAATGTCTTCTCCCCTTCAACACATAGGTCAGCAAGCATATATTTTGGGTTCCAACTCAAAACCGACTACAAATTATGGAAAGTGACATCTTAGTAACCAAAATTTTAAGTACATTTATAGCAACTTACTACTGCCCAGGATCTTTAAACGCATAAATAAGGACTGCTTAAGTATTAAGTTTTCCAAAGTTAGTCGCGAATCGAGTTGGAGAGTAGCATTTAAGTTAAGTGTTGTGAAGTTCCCCTAGCATTTTGGTGTTGGTATTCTGAACACCCGTTAGGCTTTCAAAGTAAGCAACTTTTAGGACCTTCGATCACAGTGAACCGCGAGCTAGGATCCCAGATATAGGCATAACCATCAGATGATAAATTATCGGCTCGAAAACCACACGCCAATTGGTCGTGCTCCCCTCACCCCCCCCCGGAGTCAAGTTTTCGCTTAAAAACATGACTTCACAGACATGATTCAGCAGCAGCAGCAGCAGATGCCTCGCTACGATTTCGGTTTCCGACTAGAAGAAATGCGTTGCGCACACACCAGTGCTGCTCTAGTTAGACACTTTTATTATCGGCATGTTTTTTATATGCTGAATATTGATGCACACATAAGAATAACGCAAAGCTTACCAGTGATGTTGGGGATTTCCCAGTGCGACCGAATAATGTCACCCTCCTTCATTTTAGTAGTGGCAATGATCCAACGTTTCACCTCACCGGAAGCGACTAGGGCCAACATGGGATCACGCCACCAGTTTTTGACTATCTGCATTCAGAGATGAAAACAGACACATTCATACATACATCAAGACTAAAGCTGCCAAAAGAAAGTCAAGAAGTAGGTGTTCACAATTTGAAATTGGCCGCTAAATGTCAACTAGCAAGACGGGCAAGGGACCTCTAACGGGGGATTGGCAAAAGACAGTCACACTAGCATAGGTAACAAAATGTGTGTTCATCTAAAACCGGATCCTCAGATGAAGGGTGTATGTGCACCTTCATAGGCCACCCACGCTGCAAGTCGCGGGGTAGAAGGTTAACAACAGACGGGATAAGTTGGTTATCACGTTCAGTACTGTTTGTACGTGGGCTGCCACGCAGTAAATGCGTTGGACCGATGCGGGGTCACATCAAGGCACGGCGAACGTTACTGGGAATGCCTATCCACACCAAATGCCACACACGGGGAAATGTGGTGTCATGTCTAGGTATAGGCTCACGCCGCGCCAATAGCCTAGACCCGAGTGCGCCTGCGATCGTCCTGAAGCTCTCATTTCATCGGGCTGAGGTGGCTGAGGGAAGAGAGAATGCAGCAGATGTTGCGCAGGTCTACTATCATTATAGACTAATTCATGCACAAGTCACGGAACCTGTGCCCACTATGCTACGAAGCATGCGTTAGACATCGCTGGAAGAGACAGTCAACTATTATCGACTGGCCG